GAGGGAGGCTAACCAGCCCACAAGGGGCTGGTGCACCCCCCATAAGGGAGGAGGCCGAATTGGATTAGGGAAAGGGACGCCACCCCCTTTCCTTCTCCCTCTCCCTCTCATTTCCCCTTTCCCCCTCTATTGGAAGGAAGGGGGGCCGAGTAGGACTTGGAGTCCTAGTAGGACTCCCCCCCATGGCGCACGCCCTAGGGTCGGCCTCCTCCCCTCTCCTCCTTTATATACGGGGGCAAGGGGGCACCTCAAGGCACATCAATTGTTTCTTAGCCATGTGCGGTGCCCCCCTCCACCGTTTACTACTCCAGTCATATTGTCGTAGTGCTTAGGCGAAGCCCTACGTGGATCACATCACCAACACCGTCAGCACACCGTCGTGCCGACAGAACTCATTGACTCCTTTGTACCTCTACTAGATCAAGAGTTCGAGGGACGTCATCGAGCTGAACTTGTGCAGAACTCAGAGGTGTCGTACGTTCGGTACTTGATCGGTTGGTTCGAGAAGACATTCGACTACATTAAACATGTTAAGTTAACGCTTCCGCTTTCAGTCTACGAGGGTACGTGGACACACTCTCTCCCTCTCGTTTCTATGCATCTCCTAGATAGATCTTGCGTGAGCATAGAATTTTTTTTGAAATTGCATGCTACGTTTTCCAACACCTCAAGTGTTGAGCCCATCTTAGACGTCTATATAAGTGGAAGGCAAGACCTTGGAAAAAGTTCGACAATCCCATGAGCTACCCGCCACCACTTCCATGCCCACGTCATGCGATCAGATCTAGCAATCCATCACCCGACGCTCCTTCCTGCACGTGCGGATACCTTGGAGGCATTTCACCTGTGACTCTAGGACTAACCATTCGACTGAACCATAAGGAAATGTTTGAGGGATCCGCGAGGAGACGACAATCGCGCATCCCAACTGTCCTCACCTTGTCGTGATTGCATGTCTAATGGTAAACCAGATACGGTGATCTACCTCTACAACATTATCATGGTTCATATGGTAGATTTTTTTTGCACTAGCGAGCGCACCACGTGTCCCAACAAAAAAGGCAGTGAGCTCCTGCTACTTAACAAACTCCTTAGGAGACAATGTACGACGAAGGCTAATTACACAATTATTTGCCGGGACCTCTAAATGGAGATCGACGGAGTGGAGCAATAAGAAAAAGAGCAGGAAATGACAACTTAACAGGCCCTTCTCTGTTCCACCAATCCAACCAGCACCTAACAAAAGCACTGTTACCAACCTCAAACTTAATAAGGCCTTTAAACTCATTTCTCACTTTCACAATATATTTTCAGAATTGGGATCCACCCATGGATTAGCGACAAGAGGATCATCAACTAGGAAATACTTGGCTTTAAGCAACTCTCCCTAGATAGAGCCCAGGGCATCATGGTAAGTCTATGACCACCACTTCATAATAAGGCATTTGTTCATAATGGAGGTGTTAATGATGCCAATCCCTCAGGGTTCTTAGTCTTGCACATAAGCTTCCATTTAATCATCCTAACTTCGTCCTGTTATCAAAAGAGTTCCAAAAGAAAGCAGTATGATGTTTTGTTGAATCTTGGGTGACCCTGAGAGCCGGTAGAAGCCCACGGTGCACGTGGGAAGACTGGAACGACAAGAGTTAATAAGACTCACTTTAACACCCCCCCCCCCCAGGGTATTATATTTACCCCTCGATTGGGCCTCAAGTCTTGTACGATAGAAATGAAATCCGCAGCTTTAAGCTTTATCGACAAATAGGGATACAAAAGGAACATATATGGGAAGGAGTCAAGCTTACAATTCAAAAGATTAGCTACACGATTTTGTTTAGCAGGGGGCAACCCATAACGATCGATTCGCTTGTGTTGAGGTTAATCTTGAGACTAAACATGGCCTCAAAGTAGAGAAGGATAAAATTAAGGTTTGCAAGATGCATATCATGTTTCTCAATGAGAATAATGATGCCATCGCTCCCATTCAAGGCCCCATTTGGAGTTATACATCGACGATACTAGGCTGAATTATGAATCAACCATGTGGTTTAGTCCATGGATTATTTTTATCCTTCTTTTTTCCACCCTCACATTCAAGGCCAATTTGGGGTTTTGGCGTGTTTCCCTTAAAAACATGCTACCTTGTGAATACATATTTCTCTCTTCTATCTTAATGAAAAGGCAGCGCTCCGGCCGGTTGCTTAAAAACAACATGCATGTAGATGCTCCGGTGCACTTTAAGGAAGAGCTTCGTCGATGGCCACTCAATCACGAAAATAAATTCCACAATCAATTGATTTTTCTTATTTAATAAAATATTGTTATGGGCATATACAATTTAGTCGACGTAGGAATTGTTATTCCTCAGTAAATATTAGTAACTATCTATCTGCAAAATATATATTAATAACTATCTGATAAAGGCCTTCTCACCAATTTATATTTGTAAGAATCTTGATTTTACATCACATAGTTCTTGTGGATGACATAGAAGTAATTATTTCGCAGTCACATGAGAAAGACAGAAACAATAACAAATCCGCAGAATCATCTGATATACGTAACCAGATACCGGAGTTCCATGTTGATATTGATCTTTATTCGCACAAACATCACACCTAGTTATCTTACAATAGGTTTCCGGATATGCTACATTGCTCATATTTCTTCATTGCACATACTACTTGCCACCAACGTGTGCCCTGCTAGCCTTGTCTGTCGGCTGCCCAGACAGCTCGCTGATCATCTCCTCCACCATCTTCCACGACGAACCACCAGCTGACATGGCGTGTTGTGCCTGCCCCGCCAAAACTGCCGCGTTCTTCGCCGCCGACACCCTTGTCTCCCCTAACATTATCTCCCTCACCGCCCTCGAAACCTCCTCACCCTTAACCAACCCCCCGGTGGACCTGACCCTGACACCGACCTTAAGTTCATCAACGACCAGCTTCGCATTGAGAGGTTGGTCAAACACCATCGGCCACACCGCCAACGGCACGCCGGCGCACACGCTCTCCAGTACCGAGTTCCATCCGCAGTGGCTTAGGAATCCTCTCACACAGTCGTGCTGGAGGATTGCCGGTTGGTCCACCCACCCTCCCGTTACCATGCCCCTACCTTGGACGCGCTCGTGGAATCCTATGCCGAGGTCAGCACTATCGTCTGACCGCACGGCCCACAGGAAGTTCACCTCTGCCTCTTCCAGCCCTCGAGCCACCTCCTTGAGCTGCTCGTCCGACACCGCCAACAGCGTCCCGAGCGCGACGAAGAGCACGGACTGGCCGGCGGCTGCCTTCTCGTCCAGCCACCGCAGCCATGAGGGTTTGGAGTTATGGACTTCGTCGACGATGGTGGAAGAAGGTTGCCGGGCTAGGCACAAGGGGCCGATGGGCCAGGCCCTGGGCCCGACGTGCCGGTCCCAGTGATCGATGTAGCTACTCTCCAGACCGTGGAAGGTGTTCATGATCACCCCGCGGCTCCCGGCGACGGCCATACCCATCTTTGCGTCGAGGACTATCGCCGGCATGGGCAGCGGAGGGATATCGGCCAGCACGAACTGGACGTGAGGGAACTCCGGCACCGTGTAGGTGCCCGTGGCGCCGCCCGTAGTGTCGCACTGCGGAGGCCCACATCCTGGCTTGTCGCGCACGAACGCCTCCCGCATCACGTGCGCGAACGCGGATGTTCCCAGGAACGACAGCCTCGGAACGCCGAGCGCGCCGGCCGACTCTCCGGTCCAGTACAGGAACGCGTCGGCGACGAGCAGGGTGGCGGGGGGACGCATGGCCGCGAGCGCCTCCTCGAAGCGCGGTCGCAGCGCCGACGTGGCCTCTGCGAAGGTGGCGAAGGAGGACGCCGACGCAACACCCTCGACGTTCTCCGCACCCTGCGAAGCGTGGCCATCCCCGTCCGGGAACGGGAGCTCGACCACGTCGACGCCGTCGGGCAGAGCGGCGCATACAAAGGCCGCGTTGCCCGGGGTGGTGAAGAAGGTCACGGTGGCGAGGCGCCGGCGTAGTAGGAGGTGCGCCAGGTGGGTGAGCGGGATGGTGTGGCCTCTCGCCATGAACGGGAAGATGGCAACGTGAGGGAGCTCACGGCCGGCATCATCACATGGAACAGCAGCACTAGGAGCCATGCTTCTCTGCTTTGCTTCAGCGCCTTGGAATGGGTGTGGTGGTCTGTACCGACTACACTATTATATCAGTCCGCTGTATACATAGAGGAGGGAGAAAGTAAGGGCGTCTTTGACCAAACCCGCAAATTTGACCCTCATAGCTGGCGAACTTCGCTGAATTACGAACGGTTTCTATAGCAAGTTTAGTTGTAGTGGGGTGACAATTTCTTGACAAATATGGTATTTCGCGGTAGAGAAGACATTTAGAAAAAATGCCAACATTCACCAGTTAGCATTATCGAAATTTAATTGCTCAACCATCTTTTCAAACCTTAATTTCTTAAATATGAGAAGTTAAAATATATGGAGCTAATAGAACTCTCAAACTTAACTCCTCAAATGAACTAGACCCCACATGAAAGTCTCTCTTCCTCTTCCTCTTCTTCCCACATTCTTCTTCTTTTCATGCAGTAAACGACGACTTCTCGTTACTAGATGATGTCCATGAGCTAGCTCAGACCTAAAATCGATGCTCCCAAAAAGTAATTTAATAAAGGCTCACCTTGAGTGGTAGTCGAAAAAGTAGGCAAAATTCATCCTCTAGCAGTCCAAGTCCATGTCTTGGCCGCTTCTGAATTTGAATGGGTTCTTCCCCTCATCCTTCTCCGAGTGGCGCGATGGTGGGGTCTGGAATGCAAGGATTCATCAAAATAAGCGATAGCAGACATTGGCCACCTTCCTTTGCGGGTTTTCTTCATTTAGGCGAAATTTTCCTAGGTGCTCCTCCGTGCGTGGTGTAGCTTTAGTCTGGCCGGGGACGAGGGGAGGAGTGCCGCCAGGCTAGGACGAGGAAACGGAGGGTTGCCGTGGTCGGAGATGATGATAAAGACAAAAAAGTGAAGTCATTTTTTTGTCGGTTTCTTCCCAGAATCTCGTTGGAATTTGTCGGCCAAAGGTTCGCGGGGCTAAAAAGATGTTGGTCGGTATGCAGGGTGGTCACCAGAGGCAAGAAACACAGTGGGGTGGTGCCGGCATGGAGTCGGCCAAGCAAGATAGAAAGGCGGGCGTGTGAGGGAAAGGGAATCTTTTGCTAAAAGTTACCCTTAGCTGCTGAAAAAAATAGCAGTTAAAACATTAGTGGTTTGACTAGCTATAATTGTGTCGGATTCAGGGCTCCGCAGATCCAAGAAATGTTCGAACTCTGGGGTGTGTGCGAAGAACTCAACCTCTCCAGCCAACCAGCTCGTCGTCCTACGGCCTAGCTCGATTCGCGCGAACAAGGAAGAAGATGAACACGACAGTTTACCCAGGTCCGGGCCACCTTGCGGTGTAAGACCCTACTCCTGCTTTGTGGTGGATTGGCCTCACGAGGGGCTGAGGATGAATTAGTACATGGGATGAACAACCTCGCGAGGCTTGGGGTGAGGGAGTCAGTCGACCGGGATCCGATCCGATCCTATGGTGGTGGCTAGCCTATACTTATAGTGGCATTGGTCCTCTTTCCCCAAATCGTAGGCAGGAAGGGATTCCACAGTGGCCAATTTGAAAGGGGACAAGTAGTGCAACTTATCCTGGCGAAAGGTAGTCTTCGCTTGCAAAGCCTCTGATCGTGACACGGCGGTGGGCTCGGTGATGACATCCGTCTTATCGTGATGGTGGTCTTGGTCTCGTTGCACTGGAATGGAAACCTTTGCCAGATTCCTCAGGAACCCATGCCTGCGCTGGCCTCCTTAGCACCAAAGAGGAAATTGCCTTCTCTGCGCCCGCCTGGCCTCGGTCGTCATGGCTTGCGTCATTGCAACCTCATGAGGTCGGGTACCAGCATAGAAATCTCCACTCCTCAGGAGGCAGCCTGGGAAGGCCGCTCCCTCGGGAGGTCTTGGTGTCGGCCGCCCCGCGAGGCTTGGCCCCTCACGAGGGTCTTGTCGGTGTCAAAACCGGCGGATCTCGAGTAGGGGGTCCCGAACTGTGCGTCTAGGCGGATGGTAACAGGAGACAAGGGACACGATGTTTTTACCCAGGTTCGGGCCCTCTCGATGGAGGTAAAACCCTACTCCTGCTTAATTAATATTGATGATATGGGTAGTACAAGAGTTGATCTACCACGAGATCAGAGAGGCTAAACCCTAGAAGCTAGCCTATGGTATGATTGTTGTTCGTCCTACGGACTAAAACTCTCCGGTTTATATAGACACCGGAGAGGGCTAGGGTTACACAGAATCGGTTACAATGGGAGGAGATCTTCATATCGTATCGCCAAGCTTGCCTTCCACACCAAGGAAAGTCCCATCCGGACACGGGACGAAGTCTTCAATCTTGTATCTTCATAGTCCGGGAGTCCGGCCAAAGGTCATAGTCCGGCCATCCGGACACCCCCTAATCCAGGACTCCCTCAGTAGCCCCTGAACCAGGCTTCAATGACGACGAGTCCGGCGCACAAATTGTCTTCGGCATTGCAAGGCGGGTTCCTCCTCCGAATACTTCATAGAAGATGTTGAACACAAGGATAGTGTCCGGCTCTGCAAAAATAAGTTCCACATACCACCGTAGAGAGAATAATATCTGCACAAATCTAATCTGCTGACGTATCCTGCAGCGTGACATCACGCCACGGCCAATCCTTTATTCGAGTCGTTTTACTATTCCACCTTAGCGCGTTTAGCGAGGCGGTTTCCTTGGCACGTCTTGTCAAAGCAGAGATCATGTCCCCTTATTCCGGGATTCTCATCAATACAGGCGTGGGTAACCCGACCGCGCCATTAACCGCGGCGCTTGGAAGATAAGCGAGTTTTATTAGGCCGGTGGGGGCTCGTAGTTTCGGCCGCCCATATAAAGGGATAAGGATCTACCCTTTCCATTTGCGTCTTCTTCCTGCTTTGCTTATCCGTCCCTGCGCACTTGAGCTCCAACGCCCAAGCCCGCACTTCCCACCTCAACCTACTCCAATCATGTCCGGAGCGGGAGGTAGATGGATGGCCTCCTCCGTCACGGAGGGGCAAATCAAAAGGTTGAGGAAGGCCAGATACTTGTCTGACGACATCGCGCACCGGCTTCCAGATGGGGTACAACTCATCCCCACCCCTAGGCCCCATGAGAGGGTTGTTTTTCTCCCCCATTTCCTCCGTGGACTGGGCTTTCCTCTTCACCCGTTCGTCCGGGGGCTCATGTTCTACGATGGCCTGGACTTCCACGATCTGGCCCCGAACTTCATCCTCAACATCTCGGCGTTTATCGTCATGTGCGAGGCTTTCCTCTGCATCCAGCCCCACTTCGGCTTATGGCTGAAGACTTTTAATGTCAAGCCGAAAGTAGTGGGCGGCCGCCAAGCGGAGTGCGGAGGTGCCATGGTGGGCCAGATGGCCAACGTCCTATGGCTCGGGGGCTCCTTTGTGGAGACAATAAAAGGGTGGCAATCGGGGTGGTTCTACATCACCGAGCCGCGCGACCCCAAATGGGCGGCGACCCCCGAATTCCGATCTGGCTTTCCCACATGGCTCACCTCCTGGAAAGAGACGGGCCTAACGTGGGGAGATTCGGAAGAGCTGACCGGACTCCAAACCTGCGTCCAAAAGCTAGTGAACAAGAACCTCAAGCTCGTCAACTTAGTCCAGGTCATGCTTATCTGCCGGATCCTCCCATGCCAACAACGGGCCATCAAATTGTGGGAGTTTGATCCGGCACAGCACCAAACCTTGAGCGGGCTCTTCGACACCACATACGAAGATGCCTGGAAGGTGCTGTTTAAGGGCGCCGAGGCCCCCGCATCCGCTACCGAAGATCGCGGATTCAGCTCACGGCGTCAGGCCAACGAGGTAAGATATTCTACCCTTTACAGGACTCTTGTCTTTCATAGTCTGACTCTATGCGGGATCTAAACTCCCCTACCTTTGATGGGACTGGCTGAAGAAGTCCGGGCAGGTTATTTGTCTGGCGGCCTTACCATAAGACCCAGCGGACACCTGATTGACGGGGCTGCTGGTTCCGGCACCTCACGTGGTGCCGTAGAAGAAGGCCAAGAAGAAGGCCACGGGGACTCGAAAGAGCTCCCGGCGCTTGGTGGTGTCGGATTCATCGCCCGACAACCCCGAAGCACCCTTCGCCTCTGAAGACGAGGAGGAGGAAGAAGAAGAAGAAGCCTCTCCCCCTCCAACGGGGGGAGGAAAGAAAAGGAAGGCCGCCCCAACTGGGGAGGCCGGAGGGTCCAAGAAGGGGAAGACCCTTCTGCCGGACTACGCCTCCGATGCCGAAGACGGCGGGGAGGAATGGCCATCCAGGGTCAAGCCCCTGGCAAAATCATAAGTGTCCGGATACCCGAATAACTTCTGGTGCTCCTCTATTATTCGTTATCCTCTGACGCCGAATTCAATTATGCAGTCCGCCCAAAGCTCAGCTCGGCGATTCATCGAGCGGCTCCCTGAATTCGTCGGATGTGAACAGCGCTTCACTTCCGACGGCCTCCTCCCCTCTCTCTACGAATGACGCCGAGGTGGAATCCCAAAAGGGACCGAACCAGGAGGAGGTGGTCCTGGAGGCGCCGCAAGGCGACCTCCCGGACTTCAGGCCCAAAGGGGGTAAAGCCCCAGAGGGATCTGAGTCCGGCCCTGGGCCGGACACTGCTCCGAAACCATCAACGGTTCCCGAGACTGGTAGGCAGCGCCTTCGCCAGAAGGGCATGCCTACTACGCCAGCGGCCTCCATCCAACCGGAGGCACCGGACGATTTACTGGAGGCGCTTAACAGCGCCTCCATCGACGAGGAGCACCGCACTGTTATGAGTGTGGTGATTCGAAAGGTTCAGTCCACCAAGAGCGGGCTGACAGAAGCCTGCACAAGTCTGTTAACAGGCTTTGAGGTATGTGTTCAAAACATATGAAAATGTTACCGCATAGACAGTAGCCCCTGATGCTCAGTTCGGCATTCAGAAAGAAAAGCCGAGCTGAGGATCTTAAAAAGATATACGCAGGAGTCTAACATAAATATGTCAATATGGGAATGCAGACTGCGCTGCTGACCTCTGCCGC